AAGACTCCCATTTTGTGCTTCGCACATGGGAGTCAAAAATGGAGTGGCCTCTGATTTTTTTTCATTTTTAACAGTTACATAATCCATGAAATGTTAATTTTGTCTTACTAAATTACAAATTCAGAACTATAGTAACATAGTTATTCAAGATCACTAATGCCAATGTATGACTTTCTGTTTATGTAAATGATGTGCAAGTGAGTCTCTATAGTATATCATAATGGCTAAGAGGACAATACTGTATGGTACAAAAAACATTGTCAAAATGGGGACTCGAATAATACTCACCATTCTCCACAACATCTGATGAAAATTCTACCTTCCACAACTCATTGGTAGCATTTTCAGCAGAACCAATGCAATTCCTTGTTGAGACAGTTGCATGATTTGCACTAGATGTTCTAATCACTAAAGACTGTACACTTAATATCAAATATACGAATGTTCTCAGATGAAAAAGTCTCATGTTGGTTGTCTCTCCCTATGCAAGGAAAATTCCTTGTTGAGACAGTCATCAATGGTAGTCTCTGCTACCTCTTCAAGATATCCATTATGACTGTATTTATGTACTGTTTCAAATGGTCTACCACAGCTATCATTTTTACAGTACTTCAACTGGACTCACTACTGCATCTTTCATGCACATAGATGATAGACCAGCACAACATGTATTGAACATCACAATGTTCAAAACAATTTTTCTGAGAATAGAAAAAAAAAAAAAAAATGGTCAATGACATACAGCTGAACTTCTACCATGACATATGAATTATGTCATTTTCGTAGTCCAGTAAATAGCACTATGGCATGGATGTTTTAATTTATTTGTAAACATGAAACTTGTACAATATGATCATGGAGGTGTGAGTGGTTGGCCAAATCTTTAGTTTTGAAGGAACAGATCATGATGTGAAATGAAAACATTGAATTGTTTTGTAAATGTACATCTCAGAAATATAAACAATGGTTTGTACTGTACTGTACTGTCATTTCTAATTTCCCATAAAAATTGTTTACAATAAATTTGTATACTCAGTGCAACAAAAATTATTCCTTTCATATTTATAAATTTTATAATTCAAATTTAAACAAGGTTTCTATTGGCCGATGGAATAGCATTTAAATATTTTCAAATTATGCTATTGTGCACGGTACTTGTTGATTGGCTGGTTGAACTATAAACTACCATTGAATTATATAAATATTTATAAAAAGTAAATGGATTTGTTCTGTCAATAGTAATGAGATAGATTTCAAATTAAAACAAGAGCCTGTAATTTGCTTGCAGGATAGTCTTTTATACAACCCAGTCTCTGCGAAAAGAATATTATATCCAATCAACTGCCGAGAATACTAAGAGTAATATATCTTTAAAATCCCTAACCCTAAATTCTACCAGGCTAGTTAATCCTAATATTAATCTTGTCTTGGGTGATTTAAAATGATGCTTTTATTGTGAAAATGCCCACATCGCAATCAAAACCTTTATTTACGTTACTGGATGCCTTGTTAAAATAATATTTATTGCTATTTCTACTTGCAGGAAATGAACTGTACAGAAACCGTGTGTCAAAGGGAATTTTCAACAGTCCATGTGCATATAAGAAAACAAAGGTATACACACATGTACACTCAAAATAAACAAAAATATTTTCATGCAATCTAGTTGATCAGAAAGAATAGTAACCTCACAGACAGCAACATGTGTTTCTAGTACTAGTATACAGGCGACTGACATTTTCGGCTCCCACACAAAATCACCAAGCATGATCTTGTCGTTCTCGATGGTATTGGTAAACAATGAATATTGGTAAAATTTAACCCCAAACAAAACTATCGTGTTTACGTCGTATTATTGTGTTTTGTCGTGGTAAAAATATGATGGCAGTTTAAACACAACGATATGCATCAGACAACACCGAGAAATCCAGTATTATAACGTTTCTACTACGATTGTGCCGGTCATCGAGTACTGCGTGAGTGGACTATAAAAATGCACTTACCCACTCTTCAAAATGTGTCGATGTTCGGAACAATTCCGAATGAAATATCGACATTTAAAATCACAATTACATTGTTTTTGTCGTCGTTTTGTTCGCAATAAAGACAGTCACGCACATTCAAAATTAAAACAACCTTTCCTGAACGATATTTCACGTTCACTTTCAAACAATCACAGATTACAACAACAAAAAAAACAGTTCCACAAAAGGTAGTAGACACTAAACTCTGATTGGCCGATACCCCAGCGCCATTTTGAACATAAGGACCTCTAGCTTGACTAATCTGCAGAACGTTGTGAAATGTTTTAATAATGGACGTCAAAGTAAGCAGCTTGAACTTGAGCGTATATCAACATTTGTCGTAATCTACAACAACAAATATGTCAATATAGCAAAGTGCATATATAATCGTTCGAAACTGGTGCCATATATGAAATGTATAAATAATATAAGCAAATATTGTAACAAGTTAGGAGGTCATGTTAGATATTCCCACTTCCGTATTTTTTTTGTGCTGTACAGGAACTCGAAAATAAGGCTCAACTGCATAGGGCTGTATATATCATAATTGACCTTGTTCGTCGGCGAGCTTCGTTTCTTCAAACACGTAGTTATTCAGTGATGTAAGTATGCTTGACGTCCCACTGATTGGAATTGAATAAGAATTCATATTATTGAAGAATGTGCCAGACATTACAATTATTATGATTCGTACTTTTTTGCAATGACCATCAGTTATTAAGTCTTGAGGCATTCCTCTGTTCTTTTGCTTGTTACTTTAATTACAAATTGTTACATCGTTCTGTATCCCGCAGTGTTGTTCACATTGCACTTCTGCGAATCCCAAATATCTAGAATACAGTGCACCTCTCTCTCTTTGACTAGCTGAGTCGATGTGTGATTGTTTTATTGGCGTACTTTACACGCAGTGTACCTTTACTTGGCCTCGAGACAATTATATCAAATATCAGAATTTCAATAAAAGTGAGCTTCTGATGACCATGACCTTTTCTCAACAATATTACGAATAATTCAGTTCAATAAATAATGCGTGTGTCAACTTCCAGAATGTCAGAAATGTAGGATTGCATAGCTGCAGTTAGCTAGTTATGTATAGAGCTGTGTTCACCAGGGCGAACTACGCACATGGTTTGGGGATCGCCTAACACACAGTGCACGTATGTAGGGTTAAGCTGTAGCTGATTATATAACATCTTCTAATTTATAATATAATACCGGGTATATTCATTATTATGTTAACATTA